TTTTATATTAAAAGCAAAAAGTTTTAAACGAGCCCGTTTTTGTTTTTAAGTTGTTGAAGGGGGAGAAATAGGTTTTTTTTTTTTTTTTTTTTTTTTTTTTTTTCTTTTTTTTTTCTTTTTTCTTTTTTTTTATTAAGGTTAAGAATCAGCCGATCTGAAAAAAGCTTCAAGATCTAATTGTTTAAAGAATGCATTTCGGAATTTTCTTATTGCATTCTGCAACTTTAATAAAGCCTCATCATGTTCTGATCAGGCTATGTCACCGAAATCCTGCTGAAAAAGATATTGTTCAAGCAGCCCTATGGCGTTTAATGCTTTATTATGAGTAATCTGGCGTATTTCTACACTGTTATCATCCTTCTCACCATCACTTTGATTTACTTCAAGTTCTTCTACATTAGTGACTAGGTCTATAATTTCTTGATCGTTTAGTACTTCATTTGTGTCATTTTCTTCTTAATAGTTGATATAATTATTGAGATCCATTACATTTCGAAGGTGAAGTGCTTCAATGTCTGCATGCAATTCTTCTATCAATTCATCTTCATTATCATCAGTAACAAGTTCTTCATTATTGTTAGTGACAAGTTCCTCATTATTTTGTATAATCGGAAGGATTCCCGTATGTCGAAAGCAATTACGCACCGTTTCTGATAACACTTCTCTCCACGCACGAACAATATATTTTATAGCAGTAAGGACATCCATTTTATTGTCTTTTCCAGATTCATACTGATCAAGCAACCATTTTATGAAATAACTACGATAGCGACGCTTGAATGACATAATGATACCGGCATTCATAGGCTGGAGACAAGATGTTGTATATGGGGAAGGGTGTGGACGGTTGTATTGTGGAGGTTTAGATTGCTATAGGAATGGACTGCTGCACCATCTACAAGAAGAATCACCTTGCAACTAGCTATTTTTAAGTTGAATTCCTTTGGCCACTTTTGAAATAATACTGTTATCATCCATGCTTTTCTGCTAGCTCCATATGTAACACCAAGCTTGTTTCGATTTATATTTTTAAAGCAGCGTGGGTTGGGAGATTTACCAATAACGAATGGTTTGAGTTTATCTGATCTATCTGCATTGGCACAAAATGCCAGGGTTAACCGCTCCTTATTTTTCTTCTTACCTTTAAGACGAACAGTTGCAAGCATGATATCTGGTTCAAGGCTAAAAAAAAAAAAAAAAAAAAAAAAAAAAAAAAAAAAAAGGTTAAAAAGATAAGGCTATAAGGTCTTACAACATTAATTAGTTTCTATCAGTATTGGCATTTGGACTATGTCCAATAAAAATTTATTTGGACATAAATTAATCCGAATAGTGCCCTGGCCAGGGCCGATGATTTACTGCGATCACCAAAAACAGCAGAGTTTTTTCTTAAAAATAGCTAACTACAGAAATCACCTTTTAGACACCACAGAATACTACAAAATTCTAAAAAAGTAGTGCAGAATATCACAGAATTCTAATATATTGCAGTATTGACCAGGAAATCCTGGAAATATAAACAGCAAATCAACATAATTACGAACACGTTTGTCTGAATTTTTACATATTTTATATTTTTAACCGCATTTAATCACAAAATTTCGCAAAACTAACTTTCACAAAATACATTAAAAAACAGCATATGATATCACAGAATTTTTTTTAACACAGAATTTGGTCTTAACCAAAACAGAAAATCATCAGCCGGCGGACCCGTTTAAAAGTTTTATGTTATGAAATCAAGATATTAAATTTGTATAGCCTAAGTATTAAGGTTTAATTTGTTTTTATTACCGATAAAACAATCTAGTTTCATCCATGTTATAAATGTCTTTCAAATCATATTTTCCCAAGAGTTCTCTTAATTTAGGAATAGCGGTTGTAACGACATTATCATCTATGGAAGCATCTTCACCATGTTTTATTATCTTCACCAAGCCATGCCTTTTTTTAAACTTAAATAACCAGCCGTGTGAGAACTTGAAATCGTCTTCAAGTATATGCAATATTTGGGCAAAAGATTTTGCTTTTTTGATCAGAATCGCGTCACTTAATACAATTTTATCCTGGTTTTATAGAATCTACTCAAGTAATGCATTTTCAAGGTCTGGATACTGAACCGTCCTTTGTCTTTTCGCAGATAAATTATTACCGACATCGTCTTTATTTCTTAACAAGCAACTAATAGTGCTCAGGTGAATTTCAAGGTTATATTTTTTTTTACTCAGCTAGCAAGATCAACATAGCTAATGCTAGGATTTTTTTCTTTATATGCAATAATCTCTTTTCTCTATTCATTATTAAGAGCAGTTTTATCTTTTCTTTTTTGAGAGAACATTTTGAGTTATTAGTTGCGTGATTAGTTAGTTTTATATTAACGCAATACCATTAAATATTTATATTTTTTAATTATAGGGCATAATCATAGCTTTAGATATTTTGCGTACGTGAGAATTTTTGTGATTCTGATAACCGATAAGACCTACTATCTAACCATAATCAATTCTTTACAAAGTATGAATGGGGCGACAAAGCATGAATAGACGATAAAGTATGAGTGGGTGACAAAGCACAAATGGGCAACAAAGTAAGAATGAGACAACAAAGCATAAATGGACAACAAAGTAGGAATGGGGTGATAATGTATGAATTAGGATGTGAAAAGTCCGGTCCGGTCCCGACTCGACTCTAAAAGTTGAGCCTTTGGTGAAGTTTGGTCCCAAGCCAGACTTGGGACTTGACTCGCATCTATACATGCATTTAGTATATTTAGATGCAGTATAAAAAATGCGTATTCGAGCATACATTGCACGCATTCACATTTTCTAAATATACTAGATGCAAGTACAGATGCGAATCGAAGTCCCAAATCTGACTTGGGACCGAAAATTAACAAAGACTTGAGTTTTGGAGTCGAGTAGGACTAGACCGAACTTTCACATCCCTACATATGAATAAGACGGCAACATATAAATAAGGTGACAAAGTATGAATGGGGCGACAAAGCATAAATGGGGTGACAAAGCACAAATGGACAACAAAGTAAGAATGAGACGATAAAGCATAAATGGACAACAAAGTAGGAATGGGGCGACAATGTATGAATTGGGATGTGAAAAGTCCGGTCCGGTCCCGACTCGACTCTAAAAGTTGAGCCTTTGGTGAAGTTTAGTCTCAAGCCAGACTTGGGACTTGACTCGCATCTATATGTGCATTTAGTATATTTAGATGCAGCATAAAAAATGCATATTCGCGCATATATTGCATGTATTCACATTTTCTAAATATACTAGATGCAAGTGCAGATGCGAATCGAAGTCCCAAATCTGACTTGGGACCGAAAATTAACAAAGACTTGAGTTTTGGAGTCGAGTCAGGACCAGACCGAACTTTCACATTCCTATATATGAATAAGACGACAACATATAAATAAGGCGACAAAGTATGAATGGGGCGACAAAGCATGAATAGGGCGACAAAGCATGAATGGGCAACAAAGTAGGAATGGGACGACAAGCATGAATAAACGACAAAATAGAAATGCGGCTACAAAGCATGAAAACAAAATATGAACTGGTAACAATTAAAGAATACAAAAAGTCCAGTCCGGTCCTGACTCGACTCCAAAAGTCGAATCTTTGTTAAAGTTCAGTCCAAAGTCAGACTTGGGACTTCGACTCGCATCTGCACGTGTCATCTAATATATTCAAAAAATATGAATGCATGCAAAGTATGCATGAATACCCATTTTTTGTGCTATATCTAAATTTACTAAATATACATGCAGATGTGAGTCAAAGTTTCAAGTCTGACTTGGAACCAAACTTTAACAAAGACTTGACTTCTGGAGTCAAGTTGGGACCGGACCGGACTTTCTACATCCCTAGTAACAAATTACTATGCTAGACTATTTAATTATATTTCAACCTTGTAACATGAAGCTACATTTTAAATAATAAATGTCTCGCGATTTTAGGTGCAATAGTATTAATATAATTTATTAAATAAAAAAGTCTAATTAATTACAAATTCGAAATTCAAATGTTATTTTTTTTATCTATGATATTGTTCTATCTTTGGTTTAGTACCTGGCAAATTCAATAGATTAACATTTGGTTAGGCTATTCTGATGCCCAATATTATTAAATACATTTAAATTGTCCAAATATATATAAAATCTTAAATATACATATTTTTTAAATGCATATTTGATTTCAAAAGTCTAAGTTTAATAAATTTTGATTGGGTCTCGCCACCAAAATTCTACCCACATGTGATCATGTGCAGAACATCGATATAAATTTTAAAGTTCATATAAGTTAGGTTTAGAGCTTATATTAAGGTTAGAATTTTGTGCGGTTAATAGTAAAATCGCTTAAGGAAAACTTTTTATTAATGCGCAGAAAGTGGTTATATATGCTAGATACATGTGATCCTGAAATGTTATTAGTTTCTGACCACGTGCGGGTAGAATTTTGGTGGCGATCTAGGGTGGTTTTTGATTGGTTTGTGATCATGTGCATGTATTTATAGGGGGACTTTATATATAACAGGCTAAAAAAATAGTGTGCATTTACAGAATAAAGAACGTGCATTTATTTATAAGTCCCGTGGTGGGCCTACACTTTTATTGTGCATTTAGGGAGGGATAGCATTTAGGAGGAAAGCATTTAGGAGGGTCCGACTGTATATTTAATTTTATATTTCTTCATTTTTGAATGAGAAGATGCTTAATTTTGAAAATTTTGATGAAAATTCAAAAATTAAGTATCTTCTCTTCAAAAATAAAGAAAAATAAAATTAAATATACTGTCATGATGTATTTTTGTATGTTGAACAAGTTTGCTTATAATACTAAAGTACTATTCATTAGTAAAATTTTGAGTAATTTAGTATTTTGAATAATTTTATTAGTAAAATTATGCAAAATACTAAATTACTTAAAATTTTACTAATAAATAGTGCTTTGGTATAATAAGTGAACTTGTTTAGCACATAAAAATATATATATATTTCAAATTTCAAACTGTTTGCAAACTTTCAAACCAAACCCAGATCAAACTTAAAATCAAGTTTGAGATCAATTTGAGTTTGAAAAAAAAAAGTTTGATTTGTTTGAGTTTGAAAATTAGTAAAATTTTAAGTTTGAGTTTGATTTGAGTTTGAAGTTTGATCAAACTCGAACCGGACTCAAACCTAGGAGCCCTACACACAGAAGTCTGCTTAGCAAGCTCCAAGTTGAGAGGTAGTACAGATCTTTAACAGCATTATATAAAAGGCTACTTAAGGGATCTGGACACCGATCTCAGTAACCTGAACAAGAACTGGTGTTTGGCAAAACACTATACCAACCAAGTCACTAAACAAGTAACCTGAGGAAAAGGATCTAACTGTGAGAACCAGGGGCAGGCCACAGCCCCTTTAGGCTATCTAGATTAGGAGTTCAGATTACTGACAGAACTTAGATATCAGTAATAGTTTGTAAAGTATATGCTGAAGTTTGGGTAAACTCTGCAAAGGCAGAAGTAGATAACAATAGCGGTTTCAGCTTGCAAGTACTTGTTCTCAGACTCGATGTAAGTTACTGAAGTCTAGATTAGTCAGATTGTGGATAAAGAAAGCTTTAGCTAATAATGCCTCGAGAATAAATGTGTTCTAAGAGTATAGGAAAAGCATCCAAAACTTTTTATAATAGATAATTATAGCAG